GTCATTATTAGGTTAGACTGAAAAGAGTTTAGCCACAAAAGCAGCATTATGCAAGTTGATCACCTACAATTAATCAATAACTTTTTATCAAGAATATAAAAGGAAACTATCTATCTTATCCAATACATTTATGACGCAACATTTATCATAAATAACAGTCAAGTTACATCTAACAGTGTGTACTCAATCCCAAGTATATAATTTTCCAATAATATATCGGAAACTGAAGGAAATGCAGAAATAGTTGGGCCAAAGAACAGCAAAATGAACAGATTAAATGCGAGGGCCTCATGGAAGTATTTCTAACGCCAAGAAAAAGAAAGTTGTGTTACATAGTCAAGTTGCACATCTAGTAAGTGTGAATGAGGGTATAAAAGCAAAAGTTATTTCCAATACCAGCAACAAGAGATTGGAAGAATTTTTCAGTTACATAATCCTCCTCATTTGAATTCTCAAATGCCAAGCTAAATTTGTAGTGCTTCAGGGTTTCCACTTTGTCCACTGCAATAATGTAAAATAATATCAACAAAGCAACAAAGTCATATAAATAAAATGGATGGCATTGTTATAAACAAGAAAATAAAAAAAACCTACGAAAAATGATCCTTATATGAGCCAATCCCTTACTGCATTTAAATTATCAAGGTTTGAGAATCATCACAATGATTTACACTGATGTTTAAAAGGAGGGAATTGATAAAAGTATGCTATTAAAATGCTTAGGAGAGACATAGAGATTTTTCTGCTTCCAAAGAACTCTCCTTAGTAAAATTTCGTCTACTATTAAAGGGTAAAACAAAAATCTTGTACTGTTTGTAGTACAATATATTTGCAGTCAGTCAATTCTTTTCATCTGATGAAATAGGCCCAACCACCACCTTGACATACAGAATATTGAATGAAAAACTGAAATTAAATGGATCCAGAATCGTAGACATGGGATGCAGTTTAAGAGCCTCGGAACCTCGTCTTGGATGACAACCTGACAGCTTAGGAGTTAGATTGGATATTTTCCCCCCTTTTTATTTACAAACAAAACTGGATATTTCATGGATTAAAAATCTTTTGTTGGGAGTCATGTGCATCTGCGAGCACGTCATAGCTGGATTAGTCTTACCATGTCTAATTTTGAGACCCAATGGCCAATCACCTAATGACTTGTCCAAGATTTTCAGAAATGATAAATTGAAAAATCAACAATTGAAAAAGGGGAATTGATGATCAAACAAAAAATAATCATTGAGCAATCCTAGGGCGGAGGAGGCACTGACTTCAATTTGAGAAAGGCCTGATGGGGTCATCAGCACAAAGTAGTGGCAACTCTGACAACATAACTCCATTAAAAGAAGCACAAAAGATTTGAAAAGATATTAAATTACTAGAATGTACCTCTTCCATCACGGTTTCTATGGCAACCACCATAAGAATCAATCTTGATGTTTGCTTTTTCAAGACCCTCAAGAGCTTGCAACCGGAAATTTCGAGCACCACAATTGGAAATGAAAGCAGCTGCAAGGGCACTTTCAGTTTTCGGTTGTACAGGTCCCATAATGTCATACTCAGCCCAAGAGAAATATCCAACAGGAACATCAGATGATAGACTGGTTGTCATTACAATGTGATATCCCCTCCTAGTATACAAGACATAAAAGTATTAGTTATTTACCCTTCTCCACGAGTGGGGGGGGGGGGGATGATATTTTGAGCAAAGGCAAAACCTATAATAGTCTTTATTCTACATTAGTCATTACTTGTTAATTATATCATTTGCAAATTATCAGCCATTTACCACGTTAGTCTTGTCCTCAAGGTTATTTTCACACTCACTGGATCCACAATCCCATGGCATTCAGCTAGGTAAATTCTCTACACTAGAATACCGTTCGATGGAATTATAGAAACACAAAAGCAACGTGATCAGGTTGTACAGCACAAAAGCCAAAAATGGTTTAACCTAAGGACTTAATGCTTTATGATAGTGCTTACCCACCGTCTTGCCATTGCCATATTGTTCTCTGCATAGTATTGCGAAGATTCCATAGATCGCAGAACACTAGCCGTTCCACCTTGCTGAGGTATGCCAAATGCTGCATCAGGTTTGATACCTGAATTATAACCAAAGTTGCATCCAACGGCACAAGATTTCCACTCCTGTGTATAGAGTTTGCATGAATCAAAAAATGAGGGGAAAAAATAAAGAACATTAGATAGTTAAGAGAAATAAATAAAAGCCCAGAGAGGATCAGCGGAAAAACTTGCATTCAACAATAGAAAAGAAAAGCATCATAACTGCAGAGTACCTTGTATAATTAAATATATCAACATTGTTTCACAAGTAAATATATAGAGCGATCTAGTAATGACAAAAAATGATTTGATAATACCAACCTTGAAAACATAATTCATATGATTCCATGAAAAAAAGAAGAAGAAAATCATGCCAGTTAAAACTTTACTAATGTTATGTGGACAGGATCATCAATAGAGTGACACTTTGCCAGCATGCACATGGTTCAAGTACCTAAAGTTTTTCCAGAGTGATTTTCGCCAATCAAGTAAACAGGGAAATATATACAATTATAGGAAAGTTCATTCTAATATTTGATTACTTATTTACCAATCAACACTAGACCATATATGCATTCCCAGAATGATAGACATTGTTACAGTGCATTAACTCTTGAGCATTATCAACTTAGACAAAGTGCAGTAGTTTGTATCCATAAGCATGCCGAAAACATATACCTATCAGGCGATAACAACTTAAATTTGATTGAAGTCAACTGGCTCACCAATAATTCAAGTTCAACACTTTAAGAGGAGGAACAGAAGTGACTATTATGTTTATAAAATGGGGATGAGAGTAGTGATACTTATTCGTCAACGGCTAGCTGATCTTCTTCAATAGGAACGCATATAAGGAAAGTACAATGAAGAGTTAAAATTCAATAAACCTGCTCAGCTCCATTAACCAAAATAGGTTCCTTTGTGAAGTTCCTTGAATACGTCACAGCATCCTCCCTCTCTAACCACTCCTCACAGCTCTCAGATTCTGAACTCCGACCCCTACCCAGCATATCTACCCCCAGATCATCTTTTGGTACGACTTCATGAGCTATTCCCAAATCATCTTTTGGTACGACTTCAGGAGACCAGTAAATTAAGTCCGCCCACGTATCGACCATAACTGTGTTCTTCGCCACATCCAACTTACCCAAGAAGGCGATCTCTGCTATGACCACAAGGGCCACGAACAGCGGCATTAGATTGGACCATCTCTTCTTGGGCGGCACCGATAAACCAGCTGTGGAAACCGGTAAAGTTTCCTGGTTTGTCTCTGTTCTTGAGCCTCTATGATTTGACAATAGACCCATTAAGTTAAATTAAATGCTCCCGACAACCAAGAATTCTGAGACTTAAAGAAAAAGAAGCTTGAAGAAATAACCGCGATCTGTAACTGAACAAAGTTCTGTTATAGCTTCGACTAGTTTACATGCGAAAGGGGAAGGGTTGGGAGAGGGTTCAATGCTGATTGCTGAGACTGGGTCTCAGGGAGAAGGAAAGGAAGACTTGGACTTTCAGGAAGAAGAGAAACACCGGCTTTTCCACGCAATTCCAAATCTGCGTCTACGGTGTGCGGTAGTAATGTGTGTTGTTTTTATTTCGGATGAACTAAGATTCATATAAATATATATAATATATATATTATCATAACTATTTTCTGGCCCAGTTATATAAAACATTTTTATTTTAAAAACATAAACATACTTCTAAAATAAAAATGTGTTAAATATTTTTAGTTTAAGTTTTTTTTAATGAATTTATAGCCCATTAACCCCTTTCATATGTTTGTAGAGTGTACTTTTAATAAATAGCGATAAACAGAATTTACTTATAAATTTGTAAATCTTCTAATTAATTAATTTTGTTCTGATCTCAAATTTTTAAGGCTACTCATCTTTCTAACCCTATCAAAATTAGAATGATAAATGAAAATTTTAAAATAAAGAGAAAAAAATTTAAGTAATTTTAAAATTTAAAGGTGAAATTAATATAAATTGAATTTAAGGGAAAAAAAAAGAAGTGAAAGCTAATGAATCACATTAAGAGAGTTTCTCCCGATTGGGACCTAATTAATTGAGAGTGTTGAATGCCACGATCAGATTAGTTAACAGCATCACTGCCAAATGGTTTGTTAAGGAAATAAAATATGAATCAAATTTGAATTAATGAAATTAGGAGATGAAAGTAAAAAATTAGAGTGAATTTAAGAAATCAAATTAAAACTGAGTGAATTTAAAGGATAAAAGTAAAGGTGGCATAAATAGAATATATAGAATAAAATTAAGGTTAAATGAAATTAAGAGATAGAAATGACTAGAAGTAAGTTCCTATCATTGGAAAAATATAAACTACGATGACTACAATGAATAATTGGAATTGAAGAGTTTGACGATGGGTAATGCTGGCCTTTTTATAAGAAATCAGTTGTTATATATTTATTTTAAATAAATGATTTAATGAGAAATACTCAAAACTTAATACTAATTAATTGAAATTAATAAGAGCAATCAAAAAGCTTCCAACCTACGAAAGTAGCATGGACCATCGGGAGAGGTTGCTTTCTTCACTTAGGTACGAAGTTTGGCATTAAAAAAAGAAAAACAAAAAGAGAGTATAAATGACAATCATTTGTGGCTATCATGGGACTTAAAACTTCTTTTTCTTTTGTTTTTCTTTAGGATATGAAATAATATCTCCCCTTTATTATTTGTTATAAATATTACTTTCTTCAAGAGTACTTAAAATTGTAATTTAATTATCATTTACCTTTATAAATAAACTCGAAAGTAAATTTTTTGATAGGGAAGAAAGCAGTAAAAACTTACAGAGTATTTATCTTCTTGATAACTATTTGGGTTTTGACCATTTGTAGATGTTTGTGTTACTTAAGAGTTAAGTGAGAAAAACATAGATAACAAGATAGTATTAAAAAGATGTTAAATTTAAACTTATTATTTGTTCTTTGTATGAGTTTGTTCATTTAAAAAAAAGTTAGATAATTTAGGGTTTTTATTTTTTTTCCATCGTAAATGACCGGGTATCATTTTTCAACCTCAAACAGATAATAAATTATCATGAGTAATTTTTATAATATGTTAGCCTATTATTATGATTATAAAAAAATGGAGAAAGTGAAAAGAACTTGAAAAGCAAACCTACGTAGCTGAGGAGGGCAAACTGTGTTGTAGTGGGTGGGGTGGTTTAGTATGATTGGAGTTAGGGGTTCACATGAAACATTGGGTTTGGCCATCTTCAAAGTAACTTCAAAAATCGGCTGAGATCAGCTATCCTAGTGAAGTAGACACTTCAATTCAACAATCACCAGTCATCAATAATAAAACATATTTGCTTTTGATTTGATATTGGCAAGGTCTCATAGAATAGAGTGCTTGGTAATCAAATTTGCGTCCTTCCGGGATCCCAAAACCAGGATAAATCTCAAATCAAATTCGTACTTAAATTTGATTTCTTAAAGATACATGGACTGAATTAATGGAAATAAACATATAGATACATTTGCTAATAAAATAAAATACAGTAAATATTTATAGGGAAATTCCAGAAAGGTCCATTGAATATATGAAATCTCAGATTAGGTCCTGAAATTTTCAAAATGACAGAAAGGGTCAGTGACCCAATCTGCATTTGGCAAATCAAGAGGAATTGACAATTTTGCCCTCATTTGTATCATTCACTATAACGATTTAAGAAATCACTATAAGGGTTTAAGCATTACTTAGAAATGTAACGAATAACTACTCGTTTTTTCATATTCAGGTGTCTTGTTATTAACTACAACTAATTTGTAATCACTAGAACAATGTAAATATTACCTAGATTCGTGTAGAGAATAACTTTCACTTTTCATAGTCAGGCACCTTATTATTAACTACAACTAATCTTGTAATTATTAACTACAATTAATCTTGTAATCACTAGAACAGTGTAAGCGTTACCTAGATTGTATAGAGAATAACTACTCACTTAGTCAGGGGCAAAATTGTCAATTGGTCTTAATTTCACAAATGACAGATTGGGTCACTGACCCTTTCTGTCATTTAATTCCAAGACCCATCTGAGATTTCATATATTGAGGGACCTTTTCTGGTTTTCCATATTTATATGGCTAGTCGTATTTGATTTAATTTATATATAATATTTAGAGCAAGTCTATTTTAAAGTTTCCTAACCCGAAACGGGACATAGGGCCAATAGAAATGGTGCATCATAGTCCTGCACAGTATGTAGTACAAGGATGCGACAACCTGTGCAATAGAGCCTCACATCTAAACAAAAGACATACCCAACAATTCAAACCCACAGAACTGTAGAACCACGTAGAATGAAACCGCATATTGAATTTTTCTATCTGGATCAATTAAAAGCACAAATTAGCTGATAAAAAGCTCAAGGGAAAACAATGAAAGAATACTGCAAGAATAGTATGTAAGAAGTGGCCAAATGACTTGTGAGTTGCCTCGTGCGAGTCTCCCCGCAAATTTCTTGAACAAGGGCACCAAGTGTAGTTGTCCCTTTAGTTCTATCAGCATCTGCTGTGATATGCAAGCCTTCGATTTTGAGTTGCAACTGATTAGCTACCTTTTAGAAAGTAATGCAGATCAGATTTTGGTGGAGGGAAGCTATCTCGGAGTTCTGATAGCAATTCATCATGTCTTTTATTTTTCGAGGATGAATGGTTACTACCTGAAAGTTGAGTAAAACTTTTCAATAGGCACAACCTGAAACGAAAAGGAATCTGAACATGTAAGTTACCGATTTGAAAATTACTTGATATGGTTGCAAACAAACATATAAATACTAAACAGTACATGATCATGTCTCGAAGCATCATCAGCTGAAGCTGTCTTCAACCTTTCATCCATAGGCACACAGCTTGAAGGCGCCCCTTGATCTTCATCCTTGAAGTTTTGATCGGTAAACTCTACCAAAACTAAAGCATATAGATATTACCCCCTTATTGACATCCAGAAGACGATCTTAATCATAAATATTACACCCTTTTCTTGGTTGATGGCATAATAACAGAAGAGAAAGAAAACTCTTTTTCACTGTTAACCACTCACCTCAAGTACTACTAACTTTTTTAAACCATGATAAGTTTCATATTACAAAGTTTGTCCTATGAACAACTGATTTACAGGAACTCCATAACTAAACATTGTTCATTCCACCCAAGCATGATCTAATGGTCACCTGTTTTAGCTGAGGATTAATCACTTCTCGTGAAAAGTCATATAGCTGGTAAATCATAATGTAAAAACAACAGTCCATCAATGCAGCATATTCAAGTGAGACATGCTCAACCCCGGAACAACAGTAAAATATCATAATTTTAGTGGTCCATGAATGTTGCTTTAGCATGGTTGGCAATGGCAAAAACATTGCAACATGAGAATTAACCACTAAGGTACTTTAATTCTGTAAAACGTAAAATTCATTGTATCTGTGGGGATTAAGAACTTGGAAAAAGACGGAATGGTGTCCAAAATAAAGCTTGGTCACTTCAAACTTCTTTGCACTAAGCAACGACAATCAAGTCTCAAAACCTGAGTGGCAAAGCAAAAAGAAACATATAGGATGCTTATGAAACCACGTTGACACACACACACGAAAAGGATAATCAGGACATATACCCGAACAATAATTAAATTTATGCTTGGTTCCCCTATTTAAGAAGTTCAACTGCTGAATAAATCAACGTGTTTTTCTTCACACAGTTTCACATCCAGTATATAAGTTCAGCTCAATTACCATCATGCCACTCGGCAAATTTCAGTGTAAAATTTTTTATTTTACAGCAAACACAATGCTTGCAATTTATAGGTGAAGGTAGGTGACAAAAGGATCAACCAATCATCATAGAAAATGGATATAAAGAAAAATAAAGACTCATAAAGTAAGAAACTAGTTAAGGCCAAAAAAAAAAAAACAAAAAAGACGAGGACTCCAACCTATTAACTAATAAAAAGCCTTGTGATTCTTCTGAGGAATCTACTCAATGAATGCCCAAGAGTCATGGCCCATTAACCAGCTAATATGAGGAAACAAATATACGGATTCGGGCCAGAGAAAAATCACATGTTAAATGTGATTTGCGTACCAATAAAAGTGCATATATGTCATCAATACATGAAGACGAAAGGAGTAGGTTTACTATTAAATCATAGCAATTTCCATCAGGAAAGCATTTCCTTCTCTAGTCTCCTTAGGAACAACAAATATATAACAAGGATAGCCAATAAATAATCGATTTGGGGGGGAAAAAATCAAAGTGTTTGCATGGTCATTTGGTGCCAAAGTTCTAAACAGCAATCCAAAGAAATCTGTATATTTTTTCAGTTATTAAAGTTATACATTATGACATAACACAAATAAATTGATAACTACAAAATCAAAAAAATTATGTCCATTGTAGACCTGAAATTTCAATGAGACCGGTATCAATAATCATTTACTGCTGATAAGCAGCCTCCTCTATCCCATGGCTCAAGGCCAAATATCATTTTCAGCCTCATAGAAACTGAGGCAACCCATTAATTGAATACCATCTGTAACATCTCAAATTTGGACCCAACGATGTAGAAAATAGCCTAAAATGAGAAGGTTACTAGACTCCTTATGACAAGAGTCCCAGAGTTTTTCTGACGGGACAGAGGGATTCCTGTACACTAAATCATAAAACGAAAGTTTTCTATGATTGAAATAAGAAGAAGTTAAAGACTCCAGTGAAGTCTCGAGGCCCAGGAATAAAAAATAGAGATGAATGAGGACTAAAAGTTGTACTAAAGATCGTAGAGAAATGATTCTTGAGGTTGAGCGAACCAGGGACGAAATCATAATTTTACAAAGTTTTAGGCCGAAAAGGGCAAAGATGAAAAATAAGTCCAAAAATTCTAGAAAAATCAAAAAAAAAAAAAAGGAAATGACATGTTAAGATTTGTATGTGAAGAAAAGTTACAGAAATACCTTTGAATTGACTTCAAATGAATTTTAAAAATTATAACTCATTTCGAGGTATATTGTCAGATTTAATTATTTGAGCCATAAGAAAATCTTAGAAAGTAAGTAAAAATGGGATTCATGAGTTAAGAGGCTATAAAAAATTATAAAATCAATCTCAACCTCAGAAGATGAGCAGAATGGCTCTAAGAATATTTAAAAGCCAGTTATGCCATTTAAGGTATTTTATGGGAAATTCAAAAAGAAATACTTATGAGTTAAATTATGGTCTGAGAAAATTTATAGCTTTTTCCAGAATTAAAGGAAGTTTATGGTATGGATGGATGGATTTTTGGAGTTTTGAATTGAATAAAATGCTTCAACCAAATATTAAATAATTTTTGTCCCATAAATAGGAGACAAAGAAAAAAGATCATATTTATTACGGCGCTAAGTCAGCATGCTGAGTCGCCAAGTGCATTTATGATGCAATTATGACACCTTTGAGCCAGCGTGCTAAGTCATAGGGAGATATTTATGGACAGTAAAAAAGTCAGAATGCAGTACAGGTACGTTTTAGACAATCATTTGTCTATTCGATACAACAAAATCTCTACTGCGTGACTCAGTAAAGCTAAGTAGCTTGTCAGTGGAGCTAACTATTTTCTTCTATGCTTCTCTGAGATGACGCCATATGTAGACTTATTTGAGATGAGAAAAGGGTGTCAAAACATATCCCAGTAGTACCAAGTAAGTTAGGACTCGAAAAAATATCTGATATGGTACAGAATGGCAAGATAGGCGGAAGAATACCTAGTTCCTATTAATTTTCTCCCTATTTTAATGTCAAAATGATGAAGAGACATATAAGAGGTTTTGTGTATTGTTAGATAGGAGGAGAAGGCATTATATGTATGGTTAGATGGAAGCTGAGATATAAAGCTGATGATGTAAGCAGGATGATGTAAGCATGATTTCATAAGGACACTTGTTAATATTGATTACACTTGGCAAGATCATAAGGAAAGAGCAAATGAATGGCCAAGATTAAACCACATATACACAACATCAATAGCCAAAGTTTAAGCTTACTAACTATAAATTCCTTTTACCCTCCCATTCGTCTAAAGAGGGAGGCCAAAATGGAGAGGAGAAGAAGGAGAAGAGAAAGAGCAAGGGAAACCATGCAAAATTAAGGTCCAAGACAAGGTAAGATCATAGTTTTTGATGTGTTTATCTCGCTACTTGTCTTGTTGAGTTTGGTTATAGGTTTTAATGGTTTTTGGAAGCTTGAAACCCTTAGTAAAGGGGTTGCACGAAATTGTTAAGTGTAGGGAAAGATGAAATTAATGTTAGAATAATGTTTAAAAACTTGAAAGGAATAAGAATCAAGTGGTTTTATGTTGAAATTGGTTGAATTTTATGATTGTGTGACTTAAAGGGGCTATTACAGCCAAAGTTAGTTCTTAGTGTTAGGATTAGATTTTGATAATTTTCATACTTCTAATGAGTTTTGGAAGCATTAGAATTAAAAATGGAATTTTTGGATCCTAAAGGCATACTATTTGGCCACGTTAAGAAGTGGGGAAAGAGTTGGACCTTGTTAAATTCAAACTCATATTTGGATTTCTCATGAAAAATTGAATAGGAAATGACTAAGAGAATGATTTTAACGATTATGAAAAAAAAAGTGAAATTTAAGGTTAAAAAGGAACAAGTTTAAAAGTTAAGATGGTTAATGGTTTTTTGTGGTTTTGATGGATTGACTGTCATGGTGTATTGTGAATTTAGGGCCATGAGACACTAAGAAAGAGGAATAGCAAGATTGTTCAAGCAATCTTGATAGTTGGGATAAAAGGGAGCAAGGAAGAAAAATTTAAAGATATAAGGTAGTGAACTCACCTTTCTTGTGTTCTTGACGTGTATGCTTGTATGTTGATGTGCATTATGTTGTTTGATGATTATATGAGATGCAAATACAAGTATAATGCTCTATTTCTTTTATGTTTCCCATGGCCATGTTTGTTAGTGAAACATTAAATAACGTTATAAGTAAGCATGAGTTAAATCAAATAAGCATGTCACATATTTGCATCCATCTTGCATGTATAAATAGTAATATTTACTACTGAGATTCTCCCGAATCTCACCTTCTTAAATAACCCTAATAGGTGATAATAATCAAGCAAAGGATGCATAAATGGAGGCAAAGAAAAGAGTAAAAGAATTGAAGAGATTTATTGTATATATTGTATAATTTGTATACCAATGTATGTTATAAACATGTCACTAATGTTATGTGATGACAAATGACAATAATGGCATGTATAATTGACTATGATAATGTATGAGAATGGTTAGTGCATGGATGATATGATAATATGTATGGAAAGATTTAATCATGAACTGTTAATGTAAGTAGGGGATAAATTATCCCTAAATGGCCACGAAATAGTGGCAGAGTAGAAGGAAATCAAATGATAAAATTTGCCTATGAAATTTGGTATGCTTAAAGGAGCTTCAAAACAAGTAGTCGATCATTTAAAATGAATATGTGTACTAAGAGTTATGATCGATCAAAGTTAAGCAGAAAACTGGAAAATACTATTTTGACCAAATGAACAGTAACTTTCATGATAAACTGTACGAATTGGCATGGGTAAGGCCAGATTTATATTTTTCTCCTGTAGAGAATCAAAATACGATTTTTCTATAATTATTATGATTTTTTAAAGTTAAACTGAAAATATGAAATTAAACAGTAAATATAACCCGAGAAGCAAATTTCAAAATTCAATTTACGAGTTTGTTTCGTGATATGCTTGAATCATAACGCTTCCAAATGCACATTGAAAGGGGTTTAAGGAATGATGTTACACCATCCCTTTTGGGAACTTTAACAGCCGCCCAATGATCTGGATGTACCAGCTAGATGCATACCAAACTATAAGATTATATTTGAAACTAAGCTAAAAGGAACATCTGCGTTGTGTAAGTGTGTGTTAAAGCCATGTAAATAACAATGTACAACAAAAACAGACAACAATGTGTCAGTAACAAGGCAACAGAATAACATCTTGCAGGGGTAGCTTGGAGTTACCTGCAGTAGTGGCGACCGATTCAGGGTTGCATGGGTCATGTTGTTCTGCTGAACTTCTTGGTGATCTGCCAGAGAATATAGATTTCCCTCTTCTGCGACCCTCATCACAAAGCAAGCCACTGTGATGGACAGCAAAGTCTCTCACAGCACAGCCTCTTTCTGCAGATGTGAATTTCAATGGACCTCCTGCAAGAACATGAGAATCACCAGTGCTCTCTAACATAGGTTCATTTCTTTCATGGCTAACTTTCTTCCAGAAACCATCTTGCGGAATAAACTGAAAGCAGCGAAAAATAATTAGGCAAGATTTCACATGGTAAAGCATAAAATTTCAAGACATCCTCATCAAAGAGACGATATTAGGAAATGATCTCTGACCTGTCCAGACATATTACACAGCTTTTGTGAAGTTCTAGATTTATCTACTTCATTTGAGTCATTTTGGACACTCTGACAGCCAAGTAAATGCGCCGACTGGTACATTTCATTCACAAACGAGGCCTCTAAAGAATTGAGATATGAATTGTGTTGCCAATCTGTCCACCTTGTCAAATCGTCCAGCTACAAAATTTCCAAACTGAGGTTTAGTAACTCCTTGACCATCAAGAAGAGAGAGCGTACATCATTATTAGGTGATCACATATAATCATCCCTCCCGACATGGAATTGACAGTCCATTGTCTAATTCAAACCCTATTTCTTTCACTAGCAGTTAAAAAATGAGACATTCACTTCCAAGCAAATAGAAATTGACCCCTCATGAAAACAAGTTATACAGAAGAATATGACCTGACAAGAGAAGATATACAAAAGTGAAAATGTCATCATTGATTTACATGAAATCTACACCAGAAAAATAGTCAATTTACATACATTACTCGGTATGACTAACCAAAATTATGACTCAGTAAAAAATACATTTAAATAAATCAGTGCTTTCAATCTTTTTTCTCCTTCATTTTATCCTCAAGCCTGTGCTGCGTCTGCAAGTCTTTGCATGCTCAAACGTAGATTGTTGGCTTTCAGTAAACAAAGTTATGTTTACAGGATAACAAGCTTCTGAGTTGAAGTTCGAGATTGATGCTATCATTTGATAATTAGATGCAAACTTTAAAGCAAATATGCTGATGATTTTTTTTTTTTAAAAAAATCAGTCTAATTTGAACTTTCCGCATTTCAATTTAAATGCGTGAATTGTCATATGTAAATTTAAGGTATTCTTTAAAAAAAAAATCCTTAAGAAAAGGTATATCTTTGATTCACTTATACCGCCGAGATGATTCTCCAACGAACAGACACATATAACATGTAATCAAGAAAGAGACAGAGAGAGAGGTAGGGAGGAGAATTTGGAAGATCTACCCCTAAATTATAGGAGACAGCTTGCTAAGATATACATAATTGAGAGCACATTTAGAAAATCAAGCGTGTAAACCAAAAGCAAGTTCATTACAAAGCGTCCAGCATCAAACCAGCTTGAAGACGTGAACGTGGTGGTCAACGGATTCGCTCTATGGACCAGAGGAAGGACAAAAGAAAATGAGAATTACCAAGGCCTTAACCAGCTCATGATGAAACACATCACATTCAATAATCCCCTTTTCTGCTCATACACATTACATATTGTGCGGCAAAATCAGCGGACAAGTGTTAAAAACAGCTTGATTTATGCTCAAAATAAACAAAATAACGCCAATGAATGACATGCAGATCAAAGCAAAATTGCACTGGAACAAAATTGATGGACATAAAACAAAAACGCAAAAGCGATCGAACAACCTTGAATCTGAAAACACACTTATAAATGCAGAGTTAGACGGGAAATCAAATTAATTCCAAGATCAACACTCCGAACTTGTGATAATCCTTCCAAAGGCATGAAACTGAAAAAACTACGAGGCGCGCAGAACAAAATAAAAAAGAGAAACCAGCATAAGTAGAGTTACGGGAAAGGGAGCCGCGGAATGACGTGAAATATCTCCGCAAGTATCCATACAGATGGCGGAGGAGGCAGAGCCTGCCTGAGTCAACTCAGTACTGCAACGATCCCGGGGCTCATAAGAGGATAAGTGCGGCTGATAACTACGCCGGCGGTTGCGTTCCATGTGAAGTGATACAATGAATGTAGAAAGTACCAGAAATTTCGGAGAGGAAGAACGAGAGAGGAAGCGTCGCTGATCTGTTGCGAGTGGGAAGGAGAGGAGGGAAGAAGAATGGGAAGGAGTCAAGGTCTGCGGAACCAGAAAAGAAAAGGCTCCACATGGCGTCGCTTTTACACGTGGCAGCATATAATCGGAGTGCCACGTCATCACGAGGGATAATATCCTGAGGCGATGTGAGCCAGATATTTTTGAGATCGTTGGGAAGATGCTTTGCCGGGTTTGGGATTCCTGGGAAAGATGTTGAAGAGACTGGAGACGCAGCGTTGAATTCGGCGCGTGAAAAAAGTCGTTGTGACAGAAGTACAGCACGTGGATTGGGGGCGGGGTTCTCTTTTGGATTGATTGGGATTGGCAATCTCTATCCGTCGCGAAATGTGCCGTGAAAGTCAATCGCGCAATGGGTTTTCTGGTATTACATCTCTTCCAAGAAAGCATGATTCTGGCGTGCCCTTCCTGAAAAGCCGATAGGTCCTCCTTTCACTTTTCGGTTATACCAGCTAAATGAATCATTAGCATCCAAAAAAGTGGCAAAAATACTCCTCCAATTTATAGTTGGATTAAGATACTAAGATAGGAATGTAAATTAATATGGTACTCTTATCTAATGCTATACAAAGATAGTTTAGACACTAGAGATATCATGTGATAATTATTATAATTAATGGTGTCAAGCTCACGGATTCAAACAAACTCATGACAATAATATAAATTTAAATTATAAATTGAAATCATAACTCATTTACTTTTTGTGTGTGAATAATATGAGATAAAGCTCAATCTCTTATTTCGGGGGTGTTTGGCTAGTATGAAAAGCGCTTTTTAAAAGTATTTTTTTATAAATCAAGATAAACTCCTTTACATATTTATTTTGTATATCATAAAAGTATTTTTGAAATAATGGTTTTTGATTTCATTCAAATATCCCTTCCATTGATATGCAAAACCCACAAAGTTATTACACAAGCATGGTAACAAATCTTTTGGTGGCCTATCAAAAAAAAAAAAAATTAACCACCATATACTATGTAAAACTCAAATTAGGTAGCTTGTCTTCACAAGTATTCCCTTCCCTATATACGTGTTTCATAAGCGTTTACAGGAGTCTTACTCTACTAGCGATTTGATTCTTTGGATATAGCCCCATTCTTTTCTCTCTCTTTTTTATTGGTGATAGGATATAGCTCCATTCTTAATGCAGAGGTTATGAGAATTTTAGGGGAATTTGGAATATGGAAATGGAAGAATAAAAAGGTGGAATCAGATGTGTATAGTACTACCTCCTATTCTTAATATAAGATCTTATTTGACTTTTATTTTGATCCTAAATATAAGACCCTAATCCACTTTGTCTCTCATATTTATGTATTTTTTTTCGAGATAATCCTTCTAATAATAATAGTTCTAGCCAATACACTTAATTAGTAGGGATATTTTAAGAAAGACAACATATATTTATTACAAATAACTAACTTAACTTCTTTCCTTAATTTTTTCAAATTAGTTAATTAGTTCTTATAAATAAGACCGGAGGTAATAAAAAAATATTTGTGCTTCATTTTTCCAGCATCCATAGGGCTGAGCAATGGGTGGGGTGAACTAACCCGAAGGTTAGCTCATAGCCCGCCCATTTATGAATAAATGGGCATGGGCTAACCTATAACCCCCATTTAGCCCGTATTAAATGGGCTATAGGGCAGCCCATTTGGGCTAACCGGATTACGGGGTAACCCATTTATTTTTTTAAATTTTTTTTCAGTATAGCTATTTTGTATATGTAACCTTATGAAGTTGTTAATCAATTTTGCATGTCAAATAGCAAATCAAATATGAAATAACATCAACCATATTTAATCACACAACCTCACTTAGATTCGCAAACAATCAAAGTTTGATAAAATCATAAACGTAGTCACCAATCATAAAGTCTCATAAACTTTGAAATTTTCAACTTTCACCTAAAAGATAAAATAAAAGCTTAGATAAGCATGAATGTTTGATAAAAGATGAATGAGAAACAATATCATCAATTAAATGAAAAATAAAAATATTTTTAAAAAATTAAAACTTAAACCGACATGTATGGGCACCCAATACCTTGCCTATAGTCCAACCCCTTTAATGGGCTATCCCGCCCATTTAAACCCGCCCGTTTATAATCTCTTATTTGGACTAATTGGACAGGCTTAAATGGACAAAAATTTCATGGGTCAAGAACAAATTAGCATATAATGGGTTTGTTGCTTACCCCTAAGCATCCATGCTTCAAAGGAAATAGGTATTATTGCATGCCATTTGTCATATAACTTTAATTAGAATTGGTTATTCCAGTTCCAGACGGAGTTGAGAATGATGCCAATAAATTAGGCAACGCTAACGTGCTCTGTTCAGCCAAGCTGCGAAAGTTACGCCATCCTTCTGAGGAATAATATTACTTTGCTTTTTTGGTGGGCAAGTGATTTTAGGACTCTTAATTCCGGCGAAATATTAAGTAAAAATTTTGAATTTTAATTTTTGATGATACAGCAAAATGATGGGGCGCCAGGTTTCATTTAAATATAAACACTAATGGTTAAAATATATGGAATAATATGATGGAGTTTGATAAGAATGCAACACATCACTCCTGCTCCATCCTTTTCTTTTTCATTTCCACCCATCTGCTTGAATGGTTCTCTACTTCTCTTGGATAGCCTGGCTTCATAACCACACTTCACATACGAATCTATCTAAAAGGTGTTTGGATTCTAACAAAAATACTTTTAAAAAATATTTTCATGTAAATCGAAACTAAAATTTTCTAATATATTTTTAAAATTATGATTTGATTTCTACTTAAAATACTTTTTAAGTTCTGTTTACACATTCCAACTGAATTTAACACCATCTCATATAAAAACAGCACAATTATTGGAGCTAAACTCCTTTGCCAGATATGTCGATCAAGCTATTTCCATCACCAAATAAATCAAACTACGCTCGAATATAATTAAATATCGCAATCTTTAAACATCAAATTCTATCGCGATTAATTACCACATTAGTTGAACATATATATAATTTAAGGGGAAAATTAATCTACATGTCCCTAGTTTTTAATGCTTCAAGTGATTTTAATAAGATTCTTGTAGTTTTTTTTTTTTATCACATTTTGGTAATTTCACTTGATTTTTTATCACGTTTTTATAATTTTTTTTCTTTTTATCAGTCACCTAAATTTATAAGAATATGATTAAAAATCAAATTAAATTATGAGGATTAATTTAAAAAGACAACCTAATTAATACAATCTCCAACATTAAATACAAGAGCCAGAGAGAGTTCATTTTGATCATAAACATAAAACTTCAATTCATTTGGTTTCTTAAATTTATAATTTTTTTTTCAAAATAAACATGTTGATTGCATATACTAAGGAAGTTCTCATCAAAGAGTAATTATAATGCATATGATTAAACATGTGAGATAATTAATTTGGTAAAAAAAAATTAATAAACATATAAAATAAGTCTTACATATAAAATCAATATCAACCCTCAAATTAGATCATATTTTTAAGTACAGAAGGAATACCATTTAAACCAAGCATGCATATCGAATTTATCATAGCAAATATACTTGTAAATCAACTTAGTCACAATGAAACAAATACAAAAGTATATAAGAATCGTCCCTCAGTGAGTTTGTCAAACTATTGTGCATATACAATCGTATGCACTGAAAAATACGTATTTACAAACCTAAACATCAGAGAAACTGCACATGAAATCTTTGATATTTCTGTCAGGAATATTCTTTCAAGGTGCATGCCCAGCATAATTGCATATGCATTACACTTTAATCGATATTACGGATCAGCAGGGTCCCGAATTGTGTGACAGCTTGAAGATGATTGCCGCACCGCACAAGCAACCACCTGGGCCCATTGCCTCAATTTCGTCTTCCTCGCACCCAAATCATCCCCTGCACTCATCAAGTTCAGTTCAATTCATCCGTACGTCAATATGCAGAAATTAACCACGCCAACGGATAAATTCAGAGGTTTATAATTACCTGGATCGATTACGGTGCCGGAACTTCCAGCGTCGCCCTCGGCAGCCAGCGACGACGAAGACGACGACCTCGATAGGCTGTGATTGTACTGTTTGTTAACAGCGTGGTAGAACTCCAAAGCCGGGATTGTATCCGACAGCTTCGGGTCGAGTTCGGGCGAGTCGAACCCGAATCCAAGTTCGATGCAAGCCTTCAGTTCTTGTAGATCGTCCTCGGAAACGCTCTTGGAGTGACGATGGCGGCCGCCGGTGACTTTGCTAACCTTTCGCCTTTCCCACGCCTCCTCCCGGAGAACGTCGGGCGACCACGACTGCTGCTTGTAGAGTAGATGCGGCGGCGCGTGGGGCGGCTTGGACATACTTTAACGGCGGCGCCGTCTAAAACCGTTGGAGACCTAGGCGGGAGAGATAGTGCGAAAGACTTTTATAAGACCGGGGCTAGTCTCCTCCACTTGGTCCTTGCGTTTTGATGGCGATGAGATGGTGCGATCGATCGTTAAATTGCCAGCGCCCTGGACTTTGGTGCCCTTTTGGTCTTTAAAAATTACCTTATGTTAATCTTAAATAACGTATTTTCTTAATTAAACAAACGAGCAAGAGAATGTATCTAGTCAAATAATCTGTCATATGAAGGAAAGAATCTTAGGGATAAGTTTATCTTATGTTTTACATGGTAAGAGATATGGGGCGAGTCAATGTTAATTTTTTATTACATTTTTTACAATTAATTTGTTTTCCGCCAATGAATATTTGACATTTAGTTATATGATGATAATGAAGTAGCATTTGAATAATGTTAATATTTAATATTACATCTTCATTTCATCTCAAGGTTTAAAATGGATTAATATGCATATATATATATATATATATTATCAGTAACATTGGTTGGATCTAGATCAAATCAAAAGAAATTTATTGATATTTTTCATAAAATTTGTGAATTTGAACATTATGCATGGAAACTTTGTAGCTCCATTAAGTACAGATTGCTTGAATTTTCAGATGGCAGCATTAGATTTCAAATAATTATAAAAAAAATCAACAATGTTATAAAAAAAATGTAAGTAATTATGCTTATGTTTTTTTAAAAGTAAAAAAGGAAATGAAGATGCAATTAATTATACAGTATCTAATCATCTTTAATTTTAAAATATGAATAGAATTTGATTTTCTCCTCTGATAATTTAAAGAGGGCGGAGAGGGTTACCAATGTCATGTGATGGCATAGATGTTTGTCAAGGACTAAAATGCAAGTAATTGACCGGATGATGGCTGTTGAAAATAGTGCAATATTTGTTAAGGATGTGGGCGGTTCTTTTGTTTTTTTGCCAACGGAAGTGGGCGGTTCTATGAATATACGAGCCATCGGCTTTTTTATATTAGTGGATCCACGAAAGCCCACATCCTCCAATATCCCTTCCACAGCTCCATGAAGTCATTAAATTCACTTCCCAACGATATGATAAGATTTTTTTTCTTTTATTTTTCTTTTCTTTTCTTTTCTAATACTACTTCTGATCTTTAATATAAGAGCTTATTTAACTTTTAATTTAGTCTTAAATATAAGAACTTAATCTGTTTTGTCTTTCATATTTATTCATTTTTTTCTAAGGTAGTTATTGTAGTAACTGTATATATTAAATGTTTTATCAAATGACATTTAATTGGTAAGGGTATTTTAAGGAAGACAATGCCTATTTATTATAAACAACTAATTTAAATAATTTTTTTAACTATTTAAATTAATCAATTAACTCTTATATTAAAGATCAGTAGTGTTAAAAACTATCTTCTAGGCTTTTAGCCTTTATACATGGGGATGACATTTGTTGGGACATGTCAGTTTTTTTTTTCCCCTAAAGTGAACATTAAGCTTGTCTCCTATTTGTCCTTGCCTAGTCTTGCTGGCCTAGGTTAGGTTATCAGTCTATTTGGATTCACAATCCAAACTACTTATAAGCAGCTTATTGTACATGAGCATGTTTAAACAATTTATGTTCTGTTTGGATAAGCTTTAAGCCCATTTGACTTATGGGCTAAAAGCTCATTTCAAATTGCATGATTTCAAAAACTATTTCATCTTTTCAAATTGCGTTTAATGGGAGTTGGTGGGACTGTCTCTCTGACTTCGATGTTGAAATCCGATCACTAGTCACTCTCATCTACTTTTTTTTCACCTATATTCCTTGTTCTCTCCTCCCTCTAAGATTCTTTATCTTCCTTACTTTACATTGTTTCCCAATCCTTCCCATCTTCATTTTCAGTTATGTGGGGATATTTTTTGACAGTTTGATCTTGTATGTTTCATTTAATTTTCAAAAGTATGTTTCACTTTATATTTAGGAAAAAAATTATAATATTTCTAATTTTTTTAAATATATTTCCAGTCATTAAATTTCACTTCTTCCTATTAAAATAATGAAAAAAATTATAAATAAAGACCTTCAATACGTGAATTGGGATTTTGGACCTTAAATTTGAAAAATAGCTTTAGAGAACCGATCCCAAATTGCAAATATGAAATGTGGGTGAAATGTCTGAAATGCCCTTCAGCCAAATGACAAGTTGATTATGGTAAATGATAAGTTCACTTTAACAAATGATAATTTCAGTAGAGCAAATCACAACTTGGCTAAGAGTATGCTAAATGACAAGTTTACTTTAACGAATGACAATTTTAGTAGACCAAATCATAATTTGGCTGAGAGGCATTTCAAACATTTCACCAATATTTCATATTTGCAATATGAGATCAGGTCTTTATTTGCAATTTTTCATATTGAGGGTCCGAAATCACAATTTTACATATTAGGAGGTCTTTATTTGCAATTTTTTCTAAAATAATTTAGATTCATTATATTATGTAAATTCATTTTTTTAATCATTTTTCACTACTTAATAGAAATTATACCCATTTTGGTGATTTTACAAAATTTTCAAAAGTCAAATTGAAAATAAGTTATTTTTTCTACTATGAATCCAAATAGACCTTGTTTATGTTTTTGTTCCTTCTTTTTGTCGATCTCAATGCCCATGAAATTTTCTTTCCCCTCCTAAACAGACCATTAAACTTAGTTAAACATGGTTTATATCTTGATCACATGAAATATTTTGTAGCCCACTTTCTTTGATTTCAAATATAGATATCGCTACATTAGTAGTAACTATTTCATGTATGTTATAAGAAAAGAGTCAATTTTATTTGTACCAAAACACACAATTTTTTTTTGACACAGTTGCTCTTATAAAACGATTAAATTTTCTCATGGTACCATCTAATTTTTCCCCATACAAATTGATAGAAACCACATAACTATGCACAAGCAAATTGCATATGAGAGAACAAAAAGAAAAAAAGAAAAGAAGCGTACCTTATCAATGAAAGGGCCTCATGCCAAATCTGCATGGTATGTCTTCAAACCAGCAACTCCGAATCTCCATTAATTTCTGCATTGATGATGGTGTTCGCAAACTCAAGATTACTGCTTCTTGAGTTCAATACATTTTTCCTTCTTCCACTATCAAACACACACAACGCTGTTCCTTTCCTTCCAAAACGGCCAAAAGTAAGAGTGTTTTGATTAATTTTTTAAGAGTGATTGTATCGCACATAAGGTAAGTACCAGCAAGTAAAATGAGTTTTATTTCAACTTACATAAAAGTAATTTTTTTAATTAATTGTAAGGGTATCTAAGCTCCTCTGTGGTATCGGTACAAGTCATTAGGAAAATTTAAGGATGCTATTAATTATTTAAGCTGCATGATGTTCATGCCAATACATGATCCTAATAGTATTACAAATTGAGACATGAGACAACCAAATTATATTTAAGGAAGCATCATCAGTAACTTAAAACTGTATTCATTTTCAGTCTATCTTTACCTGTCTTCAACATCAATGAGGATGCATAGTTAGAATCATACGTCAAGGACAACGTGGTCTGGGCACGCAATGTTGAACAACAAACGATAAATTGTTTTGAGAAGGCGAAGTATACTATGGGGAAAATCTTTGTTATGTGATGTCGGTTAATTCATTATTATAGTAAATTATTTTAAGGGGAGGGGGTCAGTCAAGCGCTCGTGGCCTAATGGATAAGGCGCCTGACTTCTAATCAGGCGATTGTGGGTTCGAGTCCCACCGGGCGTGCATGGTGGTATTTTTTTTCTTTTCTTGATTTGTAATTTGTAATATGCTCTATATTCTATACTTGTTGGCTTTTTTCTTTTTTTCTTTTTGCTTTTTTAAATATGAACCGTAATTTACATTCAACACAAGCATAAATGCCTCAATACACTGAAATTTCACGTCGAAGTTAAGTGGCCCTTGTTATTAATTTAGATCAAGTTGGGGCTAAAAGCATGGACAGAATCCTCTCTTAACAGTAATTTTTCTTGGAGAAAAACAGTAATTTTTTTATATATATAAACTGTTTTTTGGGTATTCGTGTATCTCAAAATTGACTCTCATAAATAGGGATAGAAGGAGCATTAAATATCAATGTTATTTTTTCAAAAAATTATTTATAAATTTATACTCCTCTTGTTCTTAATATAGGACCTAATTATTGAGTTGATTTTGATCCTAAATATAAGACCTATTTCTCATATTTATTAATTTTTTCTAAATTACTCTTATGGATACTCCATCAATAATAATCAAGTAGAAGAGGGAGAGAAGTTGCTAAGGAAGATGATTATAGTGTTTTAGAAAAAACATGTCATATTTTTTATAATTAACTAACTTACTGAACTTTCTTAATTTAATCAAATTAGTTAAATATGTCTTATATTAAGGACCAGAGGAGTATTATTTTCACACAGATATTTCATTTTACGAAGGATTAATATAATCTTTGGTCTCTCAAGTTTATCCTTATTTAGTTTTTATTCCTCAAGTTTCAAATCATAAGTTTTGATCTCTTAAGAGACAAAATCGTCTAATTTTTTATTAGATTCTAATAACTAATATTTTAAATAAAGAGAGATATAAGAAACTAAAATTTATGATTTAAATCTGAAAAGATGATTATGGTGTTTTAGGAAAAACATATCATATTTTTTATAATTAACTAACTTACCTAACTTTCTTAATTTAATCAAATTAGTTAAATATGTCTTATATTAATGATTAGAGGAGTATTATTTTCACACAGAAATTTCATTTTGCGAAGGGTTAATATAATTTTTGGTCTTTCAAGTTTATCCTTATTTAGTTTTTATTCCTTAAGTTTCAAATTATAAGTTTTGATATCTCAAGGGACAAAATTGTCTAATTTTTTTATTCGATTCTAATAACTACTACCTCCGATCTTAATTATAAGAGTCAGCTGACTAATTTGAGGAGATTAAGAAAGTAAGTTGAGTTAGTTATTTGTCCTAAATAGATATTATTTTTTCTAAAATATCCTTCCTAATCAAGTGTATTGACTAGAACTGTCATTGTTAGAATGGTTACTTTGGAAAAAAAATATAAATATGAGAGACAAAGTGAATTGAGGTCTTATATTTAAGATCAAAATAAAAGTCAAACAAGATCCTTATTAATAACCAGAGGTAGTAATATTTTAAATAAAGAGAGATATAAGAAACTAAAATTTATGATTTAAATGTGAAATGAGAAACATCATAGTTTGTGTTGACAAAATGTGATATGAATATAGCTAGGGAGCAAATTCGATCCCATGCCGAAACCATGTTTATGATATTTGGGCAAGAAACGCTGCGAAAGATGCTTCATTTGTGCTAGTTTCATTTTTCTCGTGTTGTTCGTCGTATTCCCTCGCTACGAAAGAAACGCTACTTTCTCCTCCTTGCTGCCTTTCTTCCTTTCTCATTCAGTTTCACTCTTCCTCTCATGGCGTCTTATACTTCTTATTCTACTGCCTCTATTCCTTTTTCTTTGACGAGTTCTCGTACCCTTCACAATCCCATTTTCCCTGTTTATACCTCTCTTGGCCTACTTAACCCTACTCTAGCCGCCTCCTCTCCTTCTTTGCGGATCCAAAAGAAGCTCAAGAGTCAAAACCCGTATCTTCTTCCCAAGATTCAATGCGTCCGAGAAACCAAAGGTAATTCCATCCTCTTATTGGATGTTTTTTAATTTATTTCGGAATTCTAGCTGCAAACAATGGTTTTCTAGCCTGAGGAAACTGTTTTCGCATATGAGGAACTGACTCGTCAATAAATTGGGAAAAGCAGAATTGACAAAGTAGATACGACGCAATTGATAGGATCGGGTGCATACCTTTTTCTGCTTTGAAATATCCTGATTGACATGGAAAAGGGGATCCACGTAACAATGCTTTGGAAACTTCAGGGCGGAGTTATTAATTTTGGACGCACTAACTGAGATATGAACAAGATCAGTGCTGATTTATACAACACGTTGGAAGGGAACACTGAAACTTTTACATTTGATTAGACATTATGGGTGCATCTAAGTACATTAGCATCTTGCCTATGGAGCTCATTCCATGACTATTGCTTGCATGATGTGAAATTCCTAAATTGTTGCTGCTTGACGGTAATAGTTTCGACTGAAGAACTGAATTTGATCACGCTGGTCTTGGATCTAGGTTCTGGTATACTGTAGGTTGATGCTACATGTGAATTTGTTTGAGTTTCTGAGCACCACCTAATGTTCTTCTGTGTACCTGGCCGTACTGAAGTAATAGTAGCTGTGAACTGTGGAGTCCTTACACATAGGAATACAACTGGCCTTCAAAAACTAGTTTCAACGTTGGATAAAAGCTTAAACGACTTCTTTTATGCAATGTAAAGAGTTTTTTTTTTTTTTTTTTAGGGTTAGGAAAAGAAGTTTTGATTTATGCTTCTCTAAAATTTTCATTCAAGTCATGAGAAAACAAGCTTTTAACCATATATTGTGGATGTAGTAGTTGGAGAAAATTTGTTGGTCCCTTTTGATTCATCGATGTGCGGAACAGTATACAGAGACATGGAAAGAGTAGTATATAACGTATAGACTGTTATCTTTGCTATCTCTGCAAAAATTATTATGATACCCATCATCATGAATTCATGCTGATTTTTTTTTTTTTTTTAAAAAGGCTATAAAATCAGGTGCATTATAGACACAAAAGAGCCTGCTCTATCTAGGCTTTTCTTATTTGGTTATTTAGGAAGTTGAATGACTTATGCATGTTTATCGTGACAGATCTTTTGAGTAGCTGATTTAATTTCTCTTTCTAATGATGATTATTTTGCTTTATGTTCCCAGTGCTTGTACAAGTTTTTTGTCGACCATTTTCTCATATCTCATTATCTTCTATTCCTTTGGATCTGCCTAAATTTTCATTTCTCATTCTGCTTCCAATCTGAAACTTTCTCTGATTTATCTCCAGCAGTTGTCATGCCCACCTCCCTTGCCCCTTTGCTTCAGGAGTTCAAAAGCCCTTTGATAACTCTGAACTATCATTCCTTTCTCAGGCCAAGAGTTCAAAATATTGAGAGACACAACCACATGTTTCACTTGTTCACTCCCCCAATCTTTATTGATATCAAGTGTGTGAACTATTTTCAATTTGTTGGTTTTGGGTCACATCATAGCAGCTTTGCCCTTTTATTAGCTCTAAACGCTTGTGCTCAGGGTCCTCAAAGTTGAAAGATGCCTCATGATTGCATTGTATGGTTGACTTGAATTATGGGGTGGTATTCTAACTGTGTGATGTTGTGTTTGTGGCAGCAACACCAATTACCAAAGACTTGTGGGAAACTTCGATTTTGAACAGTGAAACCCCTGTCCTTGTTGAATTCTATGCAAATTGGTGCGGTCCTTGCAGGATGGTGCATCGGCTAATTGATGAGATTGCAACGGAATATGCTGGCAGATTGAAATGCTTTGTCCTCAACACGGACACTGATCTGGAGATTGCTGAGAGCTATGAAATTAAGGCTGTGCCAGTGGTTCTGTTGTTTAAGAATGGCCAGAAATGTGACGCTGTAATCGGCACCATGCCAAAGGAGTTTTATGTGGCTGCCATTGAGAGGTTGCTCAAGCCTTAAACATGGTTCTGTGCTGCTGACGGATTCCCTGTAAACTGGAATAATGCTTGCCCTTGCACGACGTGCAATTTTTGGTTCAGTTTTTGAATTAGAAAACTTCACTTTGTTCTTTGTAGTTTGTACATATAGTGCATGCTTACTTCCGGATAGGGTTATGAGACACCTATTCCTCTAATCTCCTTCAGAGTATTGCATTCAACTTTTGTAGTTTTTGCAGTTGAACTTGATCCTTGTTCTTCGGATTTTTTTCTGCCGAATTTATTGGCCAAATTTTCTCCTGAATTTGAGTACCTGTTATTCTTACTTTTTTCTTTTTCTTTTTTTCTTTTTCTTTTTTTTTCCTCTTTAAAAAGGACGCTGGATGCCGGTATTGATCTTCCATGCTCAACTTCATTGAAAACGGCCCACTTTTGTTTCAGTTTTGTGGTCCTTGCTGGGCCTAATAAAAATTGAAAACGATCCATTTTTGTTTCATTTTTTTCATTATTTCATATGATTTATTTATTTATTTTATGTACATGTGTGTTTAACGAGTTCGGATCCGAACTTGATCCAAATTAAATCTTCATGAATTGGAAAAATAAAATCATTGGTTTAAGAGATTCTATAACTTTAGTAGTTTGACCAAGATGAACCCAAGTTAATTTCTTTTATATATATAGGGTCTGTTTAGATTAGTAATTAGAAAAGTAGTTTATTGTCAATTTGACTTATAGAAAAGTGAGATTGGGTAAAAGTTAAATTGGATAAGCTAAATTATGTTTGGATTGAAGTTCAAAAAAGTTAGTTTGCAAAAATGAGATTAATAAAAAATTGTTTGGATTATGGTTGAGTAAAAGTAAATTTGGTTGTAAAATAACCAAAATAGATATAAGTTTTAATAAATAATGAAACATGATTAAAAAAATAATTTCACATAATACAATGAAATTAAAATAATTTAATATGAAAAAAAATCAAATTTGATGAGTGAATTAAATTTTAAAACTTTAGAGAAATCATACAAAATATTTTAAATATAAAGTGAAACATGAAAAAATAAAAATATATTTCTAGGAGCATATTTAAAAACAAAAGTATATTTTGAACTCATTTATTACTTTCAACTAATTTTAACTGATTTTTTTGTTATCTACAAATTAGTTATTTGAGGCTTATAATAAAAATAAAAAGAGGTAATAAATTTTTTAACTTTTTTTCACTACATGATTCAAAAATCACAAGTCATAAGCTATTAATTTTAACTTATAACTTATTTTAGCTTTTTATACAAAAGTCAAATTATCCAATTGCCTATCCAAACAGTATCTAAATTTTCAATCAGGCTTCTGCCCAATTTAAACTACTTTTCACCCCTGAAAAGCCCAACCAAACAGATACATAGTAGTGTGTGTATATTGTATATGCAAATCCATGTATTATAATTAAATAATTTAAATGAATAATAAAAATAATTAAATTAAAATATTTTATATGTGCGTAAGAATTAGAGTGGAAATCTTACTAAATCTATTAAATCATATTACAACATGATAAGAGTGTAATTTTCTCTATATTCATTCTTTTATACTCCTTCGAGCATGAATATAAGACTCGTTTTATAATATAATTTGCACTATAAAATAAGTCTTATATTTAGAGTCGGAGGAATACCTAATATTTCATTCTCGTTTTATGTCCCCTTTTATTCACTTTAACTTATTTTAATTTGGGAGGTATTGAGATTAAAAAGAATATTTTTAATATATATGGGTATTTTAACCTTGAATTGGTTGTTTTCTAATCAAGCATAAAACAGGGAACATTCAAAGTGCAAACTGACATTTTTGCATAACGTTTATTCTCTGGATTGATTTCTATATTTTGGTTTAAATTATTTACCAGTTACATTTTCTTTTTGTAATTATCGTCTTCACTGTAATCAAAATCCCAACCCCCCTTCAACAGGTGCAAAAATTGAGTTAGGTAATTCCCTTCTGTGCTTCCGGTCAAAAAAAGAAAAAATCCCATTTCTGCTATTATCAATTTCTTTTTATTGGTGAAATAGAAGTATCAATTTCTAAGAAATCCTGGATGAGTTTTTTTTTCTTTTTTGTTTTTTTTTTTGGGAGTGAGGGGTGGGCTGAGGGAACCATACATGTTTTATATTGGTTATCTGTAGTATTTTCATTAAATCTTAACAATTTGTTGGATGAAAAACCAAAAGAGAAAAAATTTATAAATGAGGAATACTCAGTTTCCTTTGAGAAAATTATTTATAAATCTAATGTAAAAAAAACTAAACATAGATATATCCTTCTCTTTAATACTAATAGTATTTAGGAGAAATGACCAAAAAAGCTGAAAATTATAAAATGCTAAACAAAAAAATGTCAACAAAAATTTGTTGTCATTTACAAATTGAGTGTTGACAACACCAAATAAAGTGTTGTTATCAAACCTGATTTGGGATTTAATAATTTTTAACTTCCTTTCTTATCATTTTTCCTAGTATTTATACGCATTCAATTGCGCCAAAAAAAGTCATAAATTAAATCATTCAAAGTAAGAAACATATTAATTTCTTTGTATGAAACAAACAACTATACTAATTTCTTTAAAATTAGTAAATGTGGGGCCTTTTTTATTTTTTTGCAACCTTGAATGAGTTTATACTTTATTGTGAAGAGATTTCCATAATGTATTAAATATTAGTGGAGTATTAAAAAGGGAGAATCTCAATTAAATCTAATTAAAATACCTATATTTAAATTTAGGACTACATTTTTAACAAATTTTTAATTAGGCCAGGATGCCTCATTAGGAATTTTTTAATATTACTAAATTAATAGAATACCCTTCTTCAATTAAAAAGAAAAATTAATTGTTTTATCCCTTCCAAATGGTTTCTCTTTTCTCTTATGATTATTTTTTGGACTAAAAAACACATAAATAATTTTATAATGTTTAAATTTTGTATATATAACTAAAATCTTTAGAGATATTTTAATCAAACATTTTAAATTATAATACAACTACCATTTAAATAAATATTTTGTATTTTCACCTCTCATTCTTGGTTTCAGCTTGCAAAAGGGTTGGATTCTCTCACAACATGGAGAGGGTTTGATCCTAGAGTTAGTTGAGGCACTAGAGGAAGTATCTTCAAAGCCAAGGTTTTAGCTCGTAACGTGTGAGAAGCATTCCTGTCTCAGTTTAAGCTATGATGCTTGATAACGCTGGGGTCAAGAGTTAATACCGTGCCCTTGGACCGTAGGTAAACCCAACCCTTTTCCTATAATTTTGTCACAAAAAAAATATTATGTATTTTCATGCTGTAAACATTTATTTTTTTAAAGATTTTAAAATATTTTAATTATAAGAAATATTTTATTAAAAGTGTAAGCCTTAAGGTAGATTTAAGTATTTCAATTGAATTTTATTGAGATTTTCCCTATTAAAAAACCTGATGATAATTTTAAATAACACATATAATACTCTACATTAATATATAATTTACTCTAATGAAATAAACAAAAACTACACTCTAATTTAAATTGAATTTTTAGACTTCACGGCTACAAAGGAAGAAAATTTTCATTTCCTGTCAAACGAAGAAATCCCTCGCCGATAAGCTGGGTTCTTCTGTTTACTTCCTATTTCTTGTTCTCTCTCTCTAGTCTAGCAGTTTTCTTTCTTGATTATTCGACATTATGCATTTCTTATAGATAGATTTTCGAGGTTGGTCAGTTGTGCCTCTTTCGCTTCAGGGTATTCAGCTTCCTCTGAAGGATTCATGTGTGCCTTGGCGTAATTTCCACAGGTTCCTTTCCTCTTGTTTGTTCACACAATTTTTGGCAATCAATCTGTTCCTTTTCACTTGCTGGGGGCTATCAACTTTGTTGAGGCCTGTTCGGTTGCTTAGGAAATTAGCATGACTAATTGTTTTGCTTGATTCAGTTGTTGATAATTTATAACACTCGTATGAGCTTGTGTGCATTGAATTACCGGCTTTTTCTTCGCAAGACTCACAGTTATCTACCCCCAAAATGACCAAGAACGCAATAAAAGTTAGCCAAAGCGGATAACTCGGCTCACTAACCTGTAAAGATGATAAATTTGAGGAGAGCGTGGTATTTATTTTAAACTACATATCTTCCCTATAACAATTGAGCTTAATTTTGCTTTATCATGCCGAAATTGGTCAAATGTTTGGGTTAATTTTAAAAAAAAGGCTAGGTTGTTAGAACTTCAGAGCTTGAATAAGATATATATATATATATATATATATTTTAAGGGGGTCTATTCGGTTTCTTAATTTGGTCAAAATAGAATTCCGATGACCTAAGTTGGCTGTGGTCCAAGGTAAGTTGAGATTCATTGCGGAATGTTATGGTGGACTGGACTGATTAGCATTATATGAAGTATAAAGATATTTTTGGTCTTGACTTGGTCGTTTCTGAGCATCACTCTAAGTCTAGAATCTCATTCTTACAGTTCCCTTACAATTTTTTTTTTTTTTTGATTGTGCAATCTACAATGTAAATCAATGCTGCTTCAGCCTTCTAGGCCCCTGATGTTGTGATTTTCAAATCTCAATGACTATTTGTTAGTCTTGTGTCTGCAGCACTGTGGCTCTTGACCGGCTTCTGATAGAACATCAAATATATCTTTCTTTCTTTCTTTCTTTTTCCTTTTTCTTATTCTTTGGTTCTTGCTTCCTTTTCTCCTTGCTTGTATAATGATAAGGCTTATGGCTGGAGCATCACCTTTTCATATTCATAAGGATATATGGAGAAATTCATGGTGAAATTTTGAGTTTAATGATGCCTTTGAAACATTCAATGTAGGGACTTTTGAGAGGTGAGATGATGGAGACCCCAAATAGATCTACATCAACAGGGTCTTCGGACTCATCGGAACAGATGGACAAATATGTAACTGATTCAAATTCAAATGCTAACCTGCCTCCATGTCCTTTAAGCCAGCAACCTTCTTGTTCCTTGGATGGCCCTGTTGCTATACTTTGGGATATTGAAAATTGTCCAGTTCCGAGTGGTGTGCGCCCTGAAGATGTTGCCGGGAATGTAACAATGACTTTGCGAGTGCATCCAATAATTAAAGGAGCTGTTGTGATGTTTTCTGCTTATGGGGATTTTAATAATTTCCCCAGGCGACTCAGAGAGGGTTGCCAAAGAACTGGTGTTAAACTCACTGATGTTCCCAGTGGGAGAAAAAATGCTGCTGACAAAGCTATCTTGATCGACATGTTCTTGTTTGCCCTTGACAACCGACCACCATCTTCTATAATGCTGATATCTGGAGATGTTGATTTTGCTCCTGCACTTCATGTTCTTGGCCACCGGGGATATACTATCATTCTTGTCATCCCTGCTGGGGTGGGTGTGCCAACTGCCCTTAGCCGTGCAGGTAAATTTGTCTGGGACTGGCCTAGCATTGCTCGTGGAGAAGGTTTTGTGCCTCCCTCAAAGGCTCTAGTGCCACCTCATGTCGTTCCAACTGAGGTTGTTCCAGATCTGATTGGGTGCCGTATCAGTGGCAACTTTGATGGGAAAAATGAAGAAGAAGCTATTGTTTATGGAGGGATCTCCCAGAACTACCATAACTCCAAATGTTGTTCATTTGTCTCAGACAAAAGTGATACATTGAATGCATCATGCTTTCCAACGGCTTTGAGGTCACATAGCCTTCCATCCACTCTGAACAATGTTTCAGGAGGTTCTATGTCTTCTTCTAGCAACCGAAATGAATGCCCATTGTGGGTAGAACCTGGGGATTTGAATGGTGTGAAGTGTCAGCTGGTAAAGTTGCTTGAACTCTCTGGAGGTTGTTTGCTTCTGGCTCAAGTTGCACCAGAGTATCAGAAATATTTTGGGAGGTCTCTCTCTGTGTCTAAATATGGGGTACGCAAGTTAGTGAATCTTTTCAAGAAAATGGGTGATCCATTTTCTGTGGAAGGGAAAGGGCCTCGGATGTTTGTACGTCTTCAAAACTGGACTGTGTGCCCTCTGTCTCAGGTGAGCAATGACAAGAAAGGAAAAGGGATTCAAGAAGAGAATGCAGATGTTATCCATGCTGGTTGCTCAGTAGATGAAGAAAGAATAGTCACAGAAGAACATGTTGAGAGAAGCAGCATAGAAAAGGTTCACCAGGGGAAAGCAGCCAGAAGCGAAATTCATGACCGAATTCTGGAACAATTCAAGCATGAGCTGCAAGAGATTCTCGTGATTTATTCTTGTCCAATATTCATAGATTGTTTTGATGACATTTACCAGCTACGATACAAGAAGCCACTGGAATACCAGAGACTGGGCGTGGACAAATTGGATGAATTGTTTGAGAAAGTAAGTGATGCTGTAGTATTGCATGAAGAACCAGTAAGCAAGAGGAAGTTCCTGGCTGCCGTGGATGGTTAAATTGTTATGCTTAGCTTCATTTTCCTAGCAACGGTCTGGGATTTCTTTCTCTTTATTTACAAGTGTTGTGAAGACGATGTGCAGGACTCGTGCTTTTTTGCTGTCGCCTGGCCCTGCATATATCTGAATCTGATTAGAATTTTTCCTTGTATTTGCTTATTCTTAGTCTTTGTCTCGGATTAACCATTTTATACGTGTCAGGGTATATGGCTATAAAGCAGCCTTATGTCATTTGTATTCTATATATACGTATCATCTTAATATCAAACTTGGTTCTGTTCACGCCACATATGAATACAATTATTGATGTTTCAGCACTTTCCATCCATTCCTTTTGATCCTCACTGTGTACAAATATTCTATAAACTGTAATGTGAATAGTATTGCATAAGATCTCGTTCCACCTCTGTCTTCACTACTGGACCTGGCAACATTCAAATTAAATCCACTGAATTTGGTGTCAACGAGAGCTTCCCAACAAATTCCGTTGTAGCAGAAGATGGTCAGTTATTGACCTAGATGTAAGATACAATATGATTCAGGCAATAGGAAACAACAAAATTATGTAGTGTTCACTTGAAATTCAAAGCATCATGCAGTGGCTAATATTGACACAAAATATAAGATCCAATGTGATGTGAACACAACAACAAAACTATGTAGAGTGGAAGAGCAATTTGAAGAGTTGGTCGGTGTTTCATTCTAGTGTGCGACACAGTTAAGCTCCATTTTGAGGTAGCATTGCTTCCTATACATGTTAGCCTGATGACGATTGAAGGCAATTATTGATTTAAACTGAAAAAATATTCTGAGGGGACTGCGGGGATCCTGTCTCAAGTAAGAAACTTCTACTGCAATAGGACCTGGATGTACTTGAAGAAGAAGCTAAATATCTTCCATCCCCACTGTGATAATTTGATTCACTTCTGTGTAACTTTCCCTTGCTTCTTCTGCCAGATTGCTGATTTGCTGCATATTCTTCATCTTCAACAGCTTGTAAAAATCCACTGTGCATGGGTTCTGAAGTCTCATACAGAAGTCTAAGGACTTGTTTTATTGAAGGCCTTGCCCTGCCTTCTCTCTGGGTGCACCATCCTACTATAGAGACAACTGTTTGGAGCTGATCCAAATCAAAAGATTCCCTCACATTGGGATCCACTAACTCCATCAATCTTGATTCGGATTCCATGAATGGTTGTGCCCATTCTACCAAATTCTTATTATCTTGAATTACTCGTCTTCCAGTTACAATCTCTAATAATAGCACACCAAAACTGTAAATATCACTTTTCTCGGTGAGTTCTTGAGTAACAACATATTCTGGATCCATATAACCTGGAATACATTTTAAATCTAGACTTCAGCAATATCCATAAAGATCCTGTTCGATGACTAGCCTGTTCCCAAAAAGATACAGGAACAAATATCAGAGAAAAGATTAATATGGAAAAGATTTTACACCTGGAGTTCCCCGGATATCAGTATTTACTGGTTCAAAGCATATAGAACCATATTTTGAAGCGTGTGCCAGTCCGAAATCAGCTAGCTGTGAAGCAATGCAACGCAGTTTAGATTTTGCATTATTTACATATAAACACATCTTGTCTTTAGAGCTATGTGCAACATTCATATGACATACATTTAACTATCAAATTGCAGGAATGCAGAAAATTTGATTCTGGCAGTTACCGAACCTTTGCAACAAATTTCTCATCCAGTAAAATGTTGCTAGATTTAATGTCTCTGTGGCAGAGAGGAGGATCGCAATAGAAATGAAGGTAGTCCTTCAAGTGAAACCAAAAAAGAAAAATGAGAAAAGAAAAATACTACACGAAAAGAAAACTAAACAACACTGAAAAAGCATCATACTCAAATTACCAGTGCATTAGCCACGTCAATGGCAATTTGGATTCTATTTCGCCAACTCAGGGGCGTTTTCCCAGGGGCTACACAAAAATGAGAGTCGATTCAATACAATATATTAGATGAAATACGTTTTAGGTTTTCGGAGGAAACTACCTACATCATTTATCTCTGTTGTGTGATACTTCAAAAGTAATATTTTGCTGAGAAGTTAATCATTTTCATTTTCATTATTGCCGGAGTAACGGACATAGAAATGCATGATTCCCAGAAATATAGAAAAATAAACAAACATATATTCCCACTAGCACCCTAACACAAAAGACGCACATGAGAGAAGTAAATAGAGGGTTCATTTACAACCCACTCAAACAATATCCTCGTAATAGCACTTGAAAATGTGTACAACTACCAAGACTCGTAAAACGTACAATGAAGATGGTCTTTCAAGCTTCCATTTTCCATGTACTCGTATATCAGAAACCTGTCACGAGAAAAGCAAAAGGGTTTGGTTCACAGGTACAGACGATCAAAAGGAACAATGCATGCAAACACAAACAAGTACCTCTCATGTTTTTTAATGCAAAATCCTCTTAATGCAACTAGATGGCGGTGATGAAGCCGGGCAACAAGCTCTATTTCTCTACAAAACTCATCCCCCTTTTGCTCTGCTGATTTATCCATACGCTTTACTGCTGTCACTAAACCATCACTAAAATCAGCTTTATACACAGTTCCAAATCCTCCTTGCCCAATCACAGTGCCAAAATTATCTGTGGCCCTCTTAATCTCGCTATAGTTGAATTTTCGAAACGTAGACGAAGGACCTGTACAAGTCATACACATACCAAAAAAAAAGGGTGAAGACAAATGACAATTAATGATCTGTCACGCATATGCTATCTCCAAGAAAGAAATTAAGAAGAAAAAAAGCCAAAACCATACCATCCTGAAATCTCCATGTGGCAGAAGGGGGTAAGGATTTCGAGGAGGTTTTACTTAAATGATCAGGTCCCTCTAGCTCTCTGCCTTTTTGACGAATTAAAACGACCAAAACTACAAGCATCATAACCGCAGCAGCTGTGACGGCAATACCGATACCTGGGATTAATGTCAAGTGGTATCTATGGTGATTTCTTTTAAGTGGTACACCTATCAGCAATGGACTTGGGCTATCAGCAGCTGGAGGACTTGGAGAAGCCTCAGGAGTTGGTGAAGTGGATGGCTCTGAAACTAGCATCAAAGATGCAATGATATGATTAGTCAAGTTTTACTGTGTTAATCACAAAAAAAAAACTCCAATATGCATGGCATAAGACTACTCAACTGGAAATGAAAAATAAGAGCCGTGTAATACATTATTGGATGAAACCAGCTTTTCTAGTATTTTCCAAGCATAATTTAATTCTGGAACAACACAAGAATATCGTTCCCATATCTTGCTAAAGCAAGATTCTAGGTATACCAACAGCAAGGGACTTGCACAACTTGTGCAACCATTCCATTATTACATAGAGGCAATGGCATAGAGAAGAATCTATGACAAATGAAGTAGACAAATCATCGAATTTTATTGGATTCACATCTCACGTCAGTTAAGAAACCAACAAACAAGTCTAATGTTGTTTAGGCTTTCGCACGAACACAGGACACACTCAGAGACTCAGGAAGCCAAAAAGAAAAAGCATCATAACAAGTCTCTCGTTATTACCATTCATACCAGTAGGCCCGAGAAGTCCTTGAACCCCAAAGAAACAGCTCGCAGTTTCAACAGTAGACATATCATCAACTTGGCTTGCCAACGCAGTAAAAGTGGCATCACGGCATGTACTTAATGTGATATTATCCTGTACACCTATTACATTATGTAGGTAACCAATGGCAGCATTCAAACATTGCTTGCAATCACTTTCCTTTACAAGAGGCACTTTGCAATTTTTAGTGACCTCTCCAAATCTTGGAGATTGCAGCATCTGTGTGACAGTAGTTCGACCTTTACACTCGTAATTAACCGGGACTTTTGTCCCAAAGCCACAGAAAACAGCTGCATTTGGTGAAACTCCATAAAGTTGCAAAGTCTCAGTTATGGTCTGGAGGCAGAAGTCAGAAGCATCTGGAGGGACTCCAAGGTTGCCTGTTCCATTTGCATATCGAGCAACAGAAACGGCAATATTAGCATTAATGTAGCGACAACAGCCATTTCTGTCACCTTGGTCTGAGCAGACGGAGGATGCCATTGTAAAGTTTGAAGTACTTAAATCCAATGGGCAATCTGCAAAAGCAGCAGCAATATGAGATTAGTAGTCTCAGCCTTTAATTCATAGCCTGCACTGCCATCTTCCGTGATTTTATAATTATCAGATTACATCAAGTTATAGGACTTACGGGGAACGGAAGTTTCAACTATTGCAATACTAAATTTTATGCCACCATATTAGGAGGAAAAACTCTAATAATGGCCACAAGTTCATTAAGATACATCTCTTCCTGCCTCAACGCAAAGCTTCGCAATTGAATGAAAGTTCTGACTCCAGGCATTTATTAGGTTATAAGCACAAAGGGGTAAACAATCACAATTATCGCGGAGGAGCAAATGTGGGACTAATATCATATAAAAGAAGGCTCACATAAACAATGCGATCCGTTCCCAGCTTCACCATCTCTTCCCTAAGATGGGTCAACGAAAAGCAGCCATTTTTTCTCCTAAAGTGAAAACAGAATCAATGGGAACCAACAAGCCAAAGCATTTCTTTCTCTTCTTAACTCGCTCACAGAAAAAGCGCAAGTCAAGAGGATGATGATAAACACAACTAAGAAAGGAAAGAACTATTAAATGAACTAACCAGCCCTTGTTGCAGGAAGCTGTACTCCCAAGATGGCCAAAAGCCCAAACAAGGAAAAGGCAATCCCACGAAGCATAGTTGAGTTTTGAACTTGAGCACAAGAAGAAATTACTCCAAGGCGAAGCACAAGAAAGCTTATATTAGACCATATACGGAAACCCCATGAATCAACAACGCTCAAAGAAACAGAAGACGGTGCTGCAACTGCAACTGCAACTGCAAGGGTTGAGGGAGACCAGAGGGCAGCGATATCAGCGACTGCGAGTGACAGATGAGAACTTGTGGGAGCGCGTGAAAGAGTGTTTGTGGGACTGTGAAATGACCCACCACTACAGTTAGAGTAGAGAGACTAGTTCTAAATAAATGCAGAAAGGATGGGACCCAGAAACCTCATTGGGGATTGCTATTACGGGGTCACCTTCATCGCCTACAGATTCCCAAAAGGCAAAGGGCAGGGCTCAGAAAGACTCAATCTTTTTGTGGTTTGAATCAGCCGCCTTCCCAAAAATTCTGGCCACAGTAACCATTAGTGTAATTGTCGTGTTTGAAGAAGTTTCTTCCCATTTGGACGTAGGTGGACAATTTTTTACCAGTAAGTTTAAGCAGGAGGT